CTGAGATCTGACCCATTGCCAGTGTGATTCAACTCATAAACATCTTTAAAGTGACCATCTGATTTTGGGCTGTCCCAAATTTAGCTTCCTGAAGCTGCCCAGCCACAGTTGTCCTGAGGATGTTCTGCTGCTGCATCTTGGCCGTGTTGGGTTCCTGCTTGGACTCAGATGATTTTGGAGGGCTTTTTCCAACCTAAATGATTCTGTGATTCCCTTCTTCAGATGTCTTTATTTCTACTGACTGAGCCTACAAACTGTGTTACTTGTCTTGGTTACCTTCTCATTTCTCTTCGTGCAGTTGCTGGTTGGCATCTCTTCTTAACTAGTCCTGTCCCAGGCAGTGTCTTACAACCTGATGGTTCTTTTTACATCTATTTTGTATAATATTTTTGTCAAAACTCTGGGAAAACTTTGCTTGGCCGAAATTTTTCTGGCCACCTGTGATTTTTATAGGGGAAATTCCCATATTTCTCATTTAAAATTCTCACTTTAGGTTTTTTTATTGAAGACAGCGAAGGGTGTCTTTTCTGTTCTTTTTCATCTTTGTTTCAGTATTCATTGTGCAGATGTGTATTAGCCTGGTGAAGCTGTAAAGCAGCCAAGTTGTGATGATCTTCACTGAAGGTGGAACAGTTTAAAGAAAGCTTTGCAGTCTGATTTAGTTGTTTGTAGTTCAAAATAATTTACGAGAAAGATGCCTTTTTTTTATTTACCAAACATTTGCAAGTAAACCTTAAAACCTCATCATAGTAAATAGCAAATAATTTTCTTTACAGGCTCTTTTCTTTCCTTGTGAAAAGATGGGATTCTTGCCAGCCATTAATGTTTTCAGAAGATTGCTGCTATTTTCTCCTTATTATATTTCAAATAGTAAAACATAAAAAATTGACAAGCTTTCTCAAAAAAAAAAAAAGTATCGAAGTTTGACATCTCTTGCTAGAACACCATTTAACTTCTTTTCAGCTGGAAAATAAAGGATGTAAGAAGGGAAGATCAGTAAACAGTGCTGAAATAAGAGGATTTCTCTTAAGAAAAAATCTCAAATGATTAATTGCTTTTCTGGAACCTTATTCCACTGCCTTTGGAGTCGGTGGGAGGCTTTAACTTTTATTTTCCCAAGAGAGCAGTGGGGCTCACTCTGACTGGCAGTCCGTCTTTGCTGTTGTATCTGTTATCTGCAATACATTTATTTTAAAAATACGCGAAACGTTAAATTCAGAGTAAGTTTTGTACTTGGTAAAAGCCGTCTGCGTGCCTCCTGCAGATGCTAAAAGTACAGTTGTCAAGAAAACATCGGTTTTCCGGTTTGCTTAAGGAATGTGGTTGTGGCTGTGTATCAGTTTCGTGCATAGCAAGTTCTGAAGACTTTTTTTAAGAGGGAAAAAAAAAAAAAGTCGTAACTGGAGAACCCAAAATTTTAAGATGAGTGGTCATTAAGTTTTCCAGATTATTGATTGAGCTGTGGGTGGAACCAAGAAGAGGACAAAGAACTTTGCACTGTGAAGCACCGTCGTGGCTTGAATGTACCTTACATAAACCAAACAGGAAATTCTGCAGAGGGAAAAAGGGAATTAAGAACTCGAGTCTTGTTAATTGAGGTTTTGGCAGGCTGACCTTTTGGTCCTTTTTGAAAACCCCAGTGTGGGATGCACCGTGAGCGGTGTTTGAGTTCCTTGGGTCTTTGCCGAGTACGGTGTGGGGAAGGTTCCCTGTCGTGCTCTCCTGGTTGCTGTATTTACCATCAGCTGAAAGTCTCTGGTAGGAGGGAGATGGTGCATTCCCTGAGAGCATCTGAGTTTATTTCTGGGGAGCAGCTTTTTGGAGGCCTGGATGGAGACTGGTCAGAAAGGAACTTTCGGCAGGAATGGAGATGGAGGAGGAGAAAACCAGCAGTGTTGGTGCACACTCCAACATGGAAACAAAGACTTATTTCAGGGATGCAAAGGGATTTGCAAAATTGGGTTGTTAATGGATTGAGAACAAGCTTGAAAAAAAACTAAGTGAAACCACAGTGGACCAGGGGAGTTACTTAAAAGTATTTTATTCATCTTGCTTTTAGTTTTACTATTCATGAGTGCCATGTTTTATGTATTTTGCTAATAACACAGAGCTCTGGAGTTTACAGTGCTTTTAGTGTTTAATGATGCTCATTCTGAAGGAGGGAACAGGCAGCTCCTCCATCACTCAGCGACTCAGGGTCTCATTGCAGTGGTGGTGGAGACAAATATGAGCCTTGAGGCAGCTCTGGTCTTGGGGGCTGGAAATGAGCAAAGATCTGTGTCCCCTGAAGACTGAGGCAGAAGATTTGATTTGTATTTTGAAGAGACAGTGGGACAGAAACATTCCCTCAAGTCTAGAAAAGAGCTGCAGGGAGCGTGACATCCCTTTTTTCGAAGGATTGGCCAAAAACTCAGCTGGTTGAGCTCCTTGGTGGTCCAGGTGTCTTTGTGGCACCTGGGAGGGGCAAGTGTTACAGAAATTAAAAGGAATCAGAGTCAGGCATTGGATTATTCATCTCATGGCTCAGATGCATGACCTTTATCTATTGAGTCCCCAGGAACCAAGTCACATCACCAGATTGGCAGAGACAGAACTGGGGTTAAGAAGCTTGAACAGGAGGAACATGGCAAAGATAACCCAGTGCACAGGTGGAGCTGCTCACAGAAACAATATCTGAAGAGTATGTATTAAAATGAGCATATTTAATTTAGATACATCTCACAAAGGTTTCCAAAATAAATTTAAAAAAAAAAAGGAAAAAGCTAACAAGACATCTCTTACAGCTTTTGAAATTATTTACTTACTCTGAGATGACAGGGAAAAGATGCAGTAGTTTCATCACGTACTATAGGTGAAGACTCCAGAAATCAGCTTGTTGAGACATTCCTTTCGAACGGTGTAGGATTTAAATCAGGTTAGAAGAAGACTTGCAACAGAACTTTTGAATTGATCTCAGGATGACACTGCTCTGAGAATACGGCAAATGAAAATGGGAGGCGTTAGAGCCTGTTGACAACTGGATGCTCTGGTTTTGGAAACATCTCAGTGGGTTAAAAGGACTAACTTTGGGGAATTGGTCAAGTACCAGCTTTGGCTGGAACAGTGATAGATGAACACTCTGAGTTGACATCATAGAGTTCTTCTCTCTGCCCTGTGAGAAGCAAAGAAATCATATCAGGAGTGCAGAGTGAGACGTGCTTGAAATGTTAAGATACCTGAGGCAGGGATGAAAAATCTGCTTTTCCTCGAAGGAAGGATCCATCTGTGATAAAAGGGTCGTTTTTAGGCTGTGGAGACTCAGTCTGTCGAAGACACTCGGGAGAACTGGGGCAGAAAAGGTGTTTTCTCCTGCATGTGGTGGTTATAGCTGTAATTGTGAAGAGGAGGAACAGAGAAATGCTCTGGATATTCCACAGTATTTTGGCATACCACTTCTGCAGGGAAAATCCCTGAAAGATACTGAACAAACCAAACCTGATGAGCTGAAAGGGAGGCAAGTTGCCTTTCCCAGAGGATGGAGGTGGATGGCTGGATGGCAGGTGTACCCTGGGCTGGCAGGACAGAGGGGTTCAGAAAGCTCATGTTCATCCTAAATTGAATCCAAAGAGGATTAATAGGTGTCACTCCTGGAAGTGGTGGGGTAGGAGGGAAAGAAAATGCCTGTTTTTGTCAGCTCATGTCAGAAACCTTGTTTGTAAAGGGGAAAATTACGTGACTGAAGGAGATGTGCAGGGGGAAGCAAAGAAGGAAAACCTATGGAACCCACTAGGAAGGCAGCCTGTGTAGGAATACTTTAAATGTGCTTTGTCCTTGGTGGAATTCGATGAGGGAGGGAAGAAGGGAGAGTAGGAAAATGGTTTCGTTTCCTAATTTTCAATCAAGCGAGTGATTGATGAAGGCAAAAAAGAGAGGGCAGAGTGGACACTGGGGGGATCATTCATAAACTCTTTCTGTTACATCACCTGAGTTTTTTTCTGTGCAATAAATACATAATTACTGTAGTTTGTTCTAGTAAAATTCATCTCTAGTATTAACAGTCATATTCTTGTGTCTTTTGGGTGTCTCTTTATGGAAGGGTGAAGGAGAATCCACGTCTTACTTCGGTTCCTGCCAGGCAGTTTGTTAATACCACTAATCCAAGTACTTCCATATGAGTGAAGTCTTGAGAAATCATTGTAAACTTGGGCATATTAATCATATCAGCAATGATAGGGAGGCCTCTGGGTGTGGGAGTGACCATTTGCATGACCGATAGTTTGAATGAAAATGATTTTTCTGAGGGGTATTGCTGAACTGTTTCTCGGTTAAAAAGTGAAAATGGGTAAACAAAAAGAAAAAGGTTTTTGAAAAATTGAGATTTTTAATCTTGACCAGTGACAGAAAATGTAATTAGGTTTTGCTTTGGTTTGGTTTTGTGGCGGTTTTATTTGTACATTTAAGTGCGAGTTATCAGCTTTTGAAATAACGAGAAATCAGAGAGGGAAAGGAACATTTTCTGCACTTCTAGACCAGCGACTTGAAAGCAGAATTAGATGCTTTGCTAGGCTTGTAATTGTGTTTTAAGCAAAGAAAATTTTCCTAGTTTTAGAAGCTAAATGGAGTTGGGAGCAATTTTCTGTATGATACGGAATACAGTGATTCAGCATTCGTGGTGGGAGCTATTTATAGTCGCTCTATTTTTATTCAAAGCTAAACAATAGCACTGAATTTCAGGCAGTTGGACCAGATGCTCAGGAAGGTCTCTATTGAAGCCGAGGAAAATATCATCTTGCTGGATCCTGAAAGCTGAACTCGTGAGGTCCTTCAGCATTACAATTCCAGCGCTGTCCTCCAAAGGTGAAATCCAGGGCTGTGCTGGGAAGCTCCACTGCCAGTGTCTCCCTAAAACGTAGTTTGTATCTGCTGTTAAGGGGTTATCAGCATTCTTTGTATTTTATATCTGAAGAATTGAGCAATGTAATTAATCCCTGTTCATTTTAACCATCTCTTGCAGGTTTTTCGTGGCTGTTCTGATTCCTGTTGCTGCAGCCAGCGTGGATCCAGATGCCGTGGCTACAGAGGCTTGCTACTTTCTCATGCTGGATCCCTCAAATCCAAGAGCTACTTGGCAGTTTCCAAGGCAACCACCTGTGGAATAATTAAAAAGGATGAAGTGTTAGCCTGCCAGATATAAGGAATTCTTGCCTGGAGAGAGCATTTCACTTTCATCTGCCTTGAAGAACCAAATGTGCTTCTGCCAGCAAAGTTAAGGTAGTACAATTAAAAAGCACTGATTTATTTTCTGGAAGTACTGAAAGTCTGAGGTGGAGCAACAAACACGACATGACTGTAAGAAAATTGCCCCCATTCATATTTTGGGTGTATTTAAACATAAAATCCAGGAGAAAGGTGGTGATGGAAAGCAGTGTGGGTGAACAGTATTTTGTATAAGTAAAACCGTTGCCTGGACTGTTTTGCGTTTCGTGCCGTCTTCCCTCAGATGATTTTAAGCTGGTAAAGGACTAAAACGGAGCATACATTAGTGGGAGCATAAATATAGGAAGTGCAGCCTTCATGCCAAGTACACTGAGATTTCTTTGGCATTCAGTGAAGTGATAGATATAAAAGGAATGTAGGAGTGGGCTCACTGCAAAATGACAGTCGGAATCAGGGATCGATCTTCATCCCAGAGCCTAAAGGGGTGGGCAGTGACTAAATCCATGTTTAAACTGAACTGATAATCAGGTTTAGCTGCTTTGGTGAAACAGCAGCCAAAGCCATTTTGAAGCCCGTATTTCCCAGATTCAGAGCTGAAATTGCATTATGGAAAAAAAAACAAATATTAAGTGAAAGAACCCCATTAGAATAATAAAAAATAAGAAAAAATGGCAAATTCATTTCTGAAAGTTTGAAATGTTGCTACAGAAGTTGGTGGCAAAGCTGTTAGGCTTTAGATAACTGGAAAAGTTCTTCTACAAGTAGAATATGTTACTGGATGTATCTGCTTATTATATCTTCCTTCTCTGCCAGTCATTCAAATGTAGTTGAATAGAAAAATATTATTCATTTCTGACAATGGAGTTAAATGGAGAAAACCACATTCCCATTCTTCCCATAGTCCAAATAACTGCTCAGTTAAGTCTGGTTACCTTGCCTGATGCTCTTGCACAGTTAATTTTAGGCATGATGCTTTTATATAGTTTATTTTAAGAAAAAAAAAAGAAAAGTTCTAAATTTTGAAGTAGAAATATTTGGGATGCCATCTGGGCTTTACATAATAAATTTTCCCTGCCAAAATGTTTGTGGGATTCTGTTGGGATGTGGATGGGATTTCACATTCCATCCCTTCCACAGCACAAGAGGATCATTGTTTTTTAGATACGGTGGGTCCAAGAAGAAGTAAGAATTGTGTGGTGGCAGCTCTGTGATTTGAGGGAATACAAACAGAATCTCTCCAGTAACCACTGACACCTTTTACAGCTGTTTCCCAGTTTCAGAAGTGAATACTTGCAGGTACCAACTGAGTACAGCTGCAATTTTCCACCCTAATACTTGATTTCCAGTTCATTGGTTCATTGTTCACTACATATTAAATGCCAAATTGTTTTTCTTTTTGAAGTAATTCTTCAGGCTGTTTAGTTCCTTTCAGTGTGGAGCTGAGAAAAGTGAGGTTTTTTGAGACAAATGCTGTTTTCACATGTGAAGGGAGTGTGCTGGCAAAGCATCCACACCAAACACAGTGGAGAGGCTACAAAATTGAGACACTGTGCAAGTACAGTAAAGGTAGTTGGTGTGTGTGAATCCAGATCTTTCCACGAGGCATAAATAACTCTAAAAGGTGGAATTGGATAGTTGTGAAAGAGCATTTTTGGGTGTATTTGTGTAAGCCTCGTGTAATAGCTGGGTAGCAATTGGGTAAAGGATTGCAGGATTCCCAAGGGTGTGCACAGAGAAGTTTCATCTTGGATACTCCTACAAAACATGCTAAACACACACAAGAACCTCCATTTTTCTGTTTTGCCTTGAATACTGTGGGTGAGAGTCTTCTCATGAAGCTTAGATGTTCAGGTTCTGCTGAAGCAGATGGTGAGAAGCAGGTAGGATGAACAGCTCCCTGAAGGTTCCTATTCCAGGGATGACCTGCCTCTATAAAGGTGCCTGTAGAAAAGAACCTCTCTCCCTCCATGGATAGTTCAGCCTGAGCCACTGGTTTAGCCTATTTGTCTGACATTTCAGAAACTTCTAAATGTGTAAATAAATGCGTTTGTATATCAAACTCACCTCTGCTTTTTTCTCCATGTTTCATTCCCAGCCAGAGCTTCCCATGATAAGTAGAGTTGCACTTCATTCCTGGTACAACCCACTTACTCATCCTCCTTTTCCCAACTCGGTCATTTGACCCTGGCAGTTTTTCCAGGCTTCACCTCCAAGCCTGTGGTTCAGTATGGAGGGTGCTGGGGAGGCCCGTGGAGTTTGTTAACATAGTTTGTAATAGAAATAAAAACATCCAGGCTAAATTTAGGCAACTGGGCTGTGTGAAAGAAACTGCAGTGACCAGGCAGAATTGAGTTCTGATGTTTTGTATATAGGTTATGTTTTAATAATCTTTATCCCTGAGAAGTTTTACAGGACTAAAGGGGAATAGAAGCTCAGGAATAGTGATTTGTTCAATAATTTTAATCTCTTAAAGTGATTCAATACGTGTCAACATAGAAGTTGTTTCTGTAGCCTTGACTATAAAAAATCAGTGCTATATGCAGCCAGAAAAAGTAAAATTTTCTTTGTAGTCTTTTTTTCTGTAGCAGAAGATTTATGTTATGCTTCATGTTCAAGTAACTTGATGATGTCTTTTTGAATGGAAAAAAATGGCAAATGCTGATATGGTAATTCTCTTAGAGATTATTTTGATGCTGTGGTTAAAATTTTCCCTTATTTTTATACCATCAGAACAACTGTATCAAGAGTCAATTACAGTGTGGTAGTGTGTCATTAAAATACCCATTAATTTTGTTAAATAGATAGGACTGTTTCCTAGAATAGGCAGGACTTTGATCTTGTTGCTTGGAAATCCAGGTAATTTTTCAGGTTGGGATTTTTCAAAGGGAGTTTCTCTTCTTAGCAAGAGGAGCATATAGTGAAAATGAGCAATAAGCAGCAAGTCACCTTCCAGTTAGTGGAAGAGGGAACTCAAATAGTGAATGGACCCTTTTGTCTAGGCTTGATTTTCCTTTCAGAAGGAGGGAACTGTTTTGCTGCACTTTGGTGGATGAATGGTTTGTGGGGATCAAAGCTGCATTGCAATGATAATGGTTTTGCATATAGAATTATCTGAGAGATGATTGATAGACCTTATGCTTAGTCACCAGATCCCTCTCTGCCCTCCAGCTGCTGCTGCTGTGCAGTCTGGATATGCCTTTCCAGTTTAGTTCAGAGGATTTTCCCTGACAGATTACACAGAAAGAGTAGAATAAAAAGGTCTGACAACTTTACTGTTATTTTAGGGACCTGTTGATCCCTCTTTGAAATCAGTGAAATAGCTAATAAAATGTTTGGGGGTTTTTTTAGCAGTACAGTTGTTGGTATTAGCCTGTTTAGAGCTCCCCCTTTGTGATGTGAAACTGGATGATGTGATCTGTGTTGTGATATTTATAACAGGCAAGGAAGAGATGCTGACACTGTAACAGTCCTTTGGGATATTATACCTGTGACAGAGAAAATGACTGACAGAGAGGTAGTGAAGGTAAGAGCAGGAGAGCAACTCTTCTTGTACACTCATCTAGAGCCATGGCCACAGGTGGGTTTTTGAGGAGCACAGGAACAGAAGGAGAGTAAGATCCTCCTTCTGCACACTCTTCATTCTCCAGGCATCTGTAGCACGGGAATTTACTGAGCTAGATTTCTTTCTTTACAATGATTACTGGACTTGTCTTTTGGAATTCGTTAATGAGAAGTATTAGGAGCTGTAAAACTCAGTGGTTCTCCAGCCTACCTAACATGGCAGCTTGTTCAGTGAGGAACCATATTCTTTTGTTTGGTTTAGAACCAGAACTCCATAAAAAAATCTGCTGCTTGCACTGGAAGTGACTTAAATAATTCATACGTACTCTCTCCATGACAATCACAGTTTTCTGGAGCTCAGCCTGCTCCAAGGGTTGAGTCACTTCGGATCCTGCTGACCTCTGCATGAGGTAGAACCACTTTCCCCACCTCCAGTCATCCTATTTCATACTTAATTTCATGGAGATTCCTCCTGAGTTTCATTGATGTATATTTTATTGTCCAGTCACTAATGTACACACAGTCCTTTTTCAGTTTTTCCCACTCATTTACTGCTTTTGCTACTGTGAACATCTTCGTTATCATCAACAGATGTTGTCATCTCACTGTTGAGCCCTTTCCATGTCATTTATGAATTCATTGAACAGTGCTGGGAACAGATCCCAACTCAGATCCTCGAGGAGAGAAGAGCTGAAATGGCACCAAGTCCTGCCAAAAGCAGAGAGTGGGTTTGCCCGCTGCTGCACGTGGCACAGCTGAATCTGTAGTAGAATCTCTGTGTTGTGTTGGTACACTTAAAAATCTGGAGTAATTGTAAAATATTTAGTAGGAATGGATAATTTCATGTATAAGATATAATGTCATCCTTCTTCACAGAATCACTGAAGTCAGAAAAGACCTTTAAGATCACGAAGTCCAATTGCATCAGCACAGCACCACCACCATATTCACCACTAAACCATGTCCTCAGGTGCCACAGCCATGTTTTTTGAACACTTCCAGGGATGTTGACTCCACCACTTCCCTGGGCAGCCTGTTCCAGGGCTGCATTATTTGTAATTTCACCTTTGAAAGATAGGGAGGGGAAGGAATTCTCGTCTTTAGATGACTGAGGATGATATTTAATATTCAGAAGGGCCAGACCTGCTTTGTTCACAGCACTTTTCATCTTATGAGTTTTTAGTCTCAAAATCAGCTTGGTTAGAACTTGCTGGTTTTTCACTCTCTGCATTGGCAGTGTGTAGAGAATAATGTTGAATAAAGTAAATTAGGCAATTGAATAAATCTCCACAATCATAAATACATACAGGTTTTAGATTATTTAATGTAGGAAATTGCCTTCAGAGTAGAACTGTTAACTTGTTCTTGTTTTCTAACATTAACATAGCAAACTTCTAATGCATAACTGAGCCAGATCTGAAGGACCTGTAGCATAAAATAATTCTTCTCATGGTAGCCTGTAGCTGCAGCTTAGGGAAGTGTCCAGGAACAAG